TCTTTTCCATTTTGTAATTCTTTTTATTCATACCTGAGAAGGATACCTGATGATATAGGGAATAGGATTTCTTAATCTTTTTGTAATGTAATATAACAAAAAGTTATGGAAATATATTTTAAAAAAATTATAATTCTCGGTATGGCAATTTTAAGAAAGAAAAATTACAGATAAATTAGAAATGAGATTATGCAAATTATACTTCTTCAAAATTACTTCAAATCTTATCAATTAACAAAATTTTTGAAATTAAAAAATAAGTGAGTGAGTGAAGAAATAATAGAATTATGTGAGAGAAGGCAATCAGGAAAGGATAGTATGTTGAAAAAAGAGAGAGAGAGAGAGAGATAAGAGGACAACAAGAAAATGGAAATTTTCAGTTTTAATTTGAGCAGCTTGTGTGAAAAATATGAATCCGGAATGATTCAGTATACAATAGAACCGGATATTTGCTTAAATGCTCTGTATATTGATTGTTCAATAGGGAAGTACACAATAGAACCGGATATTTGCTTAAATGCTCCGTGTATTGATTTTACTGAATGATAGCATCTTTTGTTTTTCCTATAAGGTCCAAAGATAGCTCCGATTATTTTTGATTTCAATAATTACCCGTTAATTAATTAAGAGCGTCAATGATCTGATTTTGAAGAAGAATGAGAAAGTACCACGATTGGATAAGCTACGCTTAGCTGATTTGAAATTGATAGAAAGTTTGAATTTCTACACCATTCGATAATCACTATCAGTTATTAGCAAAAACTAATTAGAAAAATAGGTTGCAGTGCTGATCTCTTTTTTTTTCACCTATTTAAAACATTGGATTTTTTTCCTCATCTAATTTGAATTTTAAAGTTTTCGTAAATTATTGAATTGAAAAGAATGGCTGAATTAATTAAGTTGGAAGAGAAGAAATTAAAAGCTAATTATTTTCAAAGATGTTTTAGCATTCTCTTTGATTTTCCTAATTAAAAGTTTCTTCATTTCTTACCTGTTACTTGAAGAGAGGATTTTCTTAGGTAGATAAAAGAATGAATAGAAAGGAGGATCTCTCGGGTAAATAAAAGAAGTGAAAAAGGAAGATCTCTCGGGTAGGCAAAAAAGTGAGTGGAAAGAAAAATCTCTCGGTAGACAAAAAATGAGTGGAAAGAAAGATCTCTCGGGTAGACAAAAAAGTGAATAGAAAGGAGGATCTCTCGGGTAGGCAAAAAAGTGAGTGGAAGGAAGATCTCTCGGGTACACAAAAAAGTGAATAGAAAAGGAGATTCTCGGTTGAACAGAAAAATGGAAAAATGCAGTAAAAGATATTAAAAGACATTCTACTAATTCTGATAAATGAAAAGGCAATAAATTAAATAATAAACAATAGGTTAGTAATTAAAAGATAAAAGATAGTAATTAGAAGATAATTAAAAGATTAAAAGATAATTAAAAGATAGTCTGAGTGAGGAGAAATTCACAGAACTAATATATCTTACTTATTTTCCAATATATAAGTTATTCTGGCCGTCACCTCAATTTAACTTATAATCTTTCTAGGCTCAATATTTTCTTCAAGAATATTTAAAATACATCTATCTTATTAAATAATCTTATCATATCTATCATAGCAATTAATTATTACAAATTGAAACATATAATCAGTTCTAAAAACTTATTTATAATGCTGGTAAGAATGATAAAATGATAAAGAAGTAAATTTTCAATATCAAAAAAAGAGAAATAAAGAAAAAGAATCTTATTCAATACATCTATCATAGCAATTAACTACTACAAAATTGAAATATATAATCAGTTCTAAAAACTTATTTATAATACTGATAAGAATGATAGGATGATAAAGAAGTAAATTTTTAATATCAAGAAAAGAGAAAAAAAAGAAAAACTATTTCTTTAAAATAACCGTTAGCAGAATTATATATATATATATATCGCATATATCGGTTGAATGTTAATATACATATAAAAAACTTTTTAGAGCATTTTTGAAATTTAAAGTACTTTTTGAAATTAGCGAACAAACATCATCAATTAGTTAAGAGTTGTTGCGGGAATGGAATTTCCGCAAATGTTTTGTGATGCAATTGCATTTTTATATAACCTTTCAATATATATTTTCCTTTACACATATTAATTTGTCGGAAATTCTCATCGTTGTTCGAAATAAAAATTTTTGATGCCTGAACTTTTCGATCGTTTGCGATGGACACATTAATCTTAACGATCATTGTGACCTCTTCTTCTTCTTTATACTCAATTACAGATAATAATACCTTTCAATATCCTAACTTCGATGGAATAAATTCAAAATTGAAATTAAAGAAATTGTAAATGTAATAATAATAATAATAATAATCGAAATGCTCATATTACTATTATCCGCTTATTTTTGAAGCTTTTCATATTTGAAATATTTTAATTGCAATCGTTTGATAGTTTTTGGTTAATGATGAAAAATTATCATCCTCAATTATCATCCATTGTTAATTTTTACATTATGAACATCAAATATAAAGTAAAATGAGTTGAAAAAAGGGAAACGAGCAATTTGGTTAAAATATCAACAGCAATTAAATGTTAAAATTTCAACACCGATCAACACATATGTACTTTAACTATAAATTAATCGTTTTAAATTTAAAAAAAGAAATCTACAATAAGAAATATTTCAATATTAAATATCAGCAACAATTAAACGTTAAAATTTCAACATCGATCGATACATAAACACTTTAACTATTAATTATTCGTTTTAAATCTAAAAAAGAAATCTACAATAAGAAATATTTCAATATGAAATATCAGCTGCAATTAAACGCCAAAATTTCAACACCGATCAACACATAAGCACTTTAACTATAAATTAATCGTTTTAAATTAACAGAAATATAAAATAAAAGATATTTCAATATTTGAGAGAAATATTTCTATTCATCACAATTAGCAAAATATTATTGCAATAAAAATAATATCATTGGAAATAATGAATTTATTAGTTTCATTCCTAAAAATTACAACAAATTTTAATTCTTCAAATGTTTCTTTTTCTTTCTCTAAATGAGAATTGCTAATTAAAAAATTTTAAAAATTATTTTAAAAGCAATTATTCATTGTTCTTCTAGAAAAAATGATATTGATAAAAGAGGATTTATTTTATCAATAATAATTTATTTTTTGTTCAACTAACTATTCTCGAATAATAATCATCGATATTTGATTACAAAATTCAACGATTATGAAACGGTCAATAAGAGAGAGAGAGAGCTCTTTAACTTTGATGATACTATCAAACTGTAGAGAGAGAGAGAGAGAGCTCTTTAACTTTGATGATACTATCAAACTGTAAAGACAGAGCTTTTTAACTTTGATGATACTATCGAACTATAGAGAGAGAGCTCTTTAACTTTGATGATACTATCAAACTGTAAAGACAGAGCTTTTTAACTTTGATGATACTATCGAACTATAGAGAGAGAGCTCTTTAACTTTGATGATACTATCAAACTGTAAAAACAGAGCTCTTTAACTTTGATGATACTATCAAACTGTAGAGAGAGAGCTCTTTAACTTTGATGATACTATCAAACTGTAAATGTTTAATAAGCATAGCAGGAAAAATTGCTCAAAATAGAAAATTTTATGATTGAAATATGTAAACAAAAATGTTGCTTAGAATTCTATATTTTTTTTTTCAACAATAAATACGAAAAATAAATATTTGAGATAGTTGAAAGGAACATATTCATATTATCTCATACAGTTTGTACTTCTTGCCACCTTTAAAATCATTCATAAAATTATACTTTTTTTTTGGTACAACAAATTATTTGAAATTATATATCATTGTTCAATGTTAGATTATTTCTCTAATTTAGGAAAGTATGATTTAATGCCAGACTTCAATTCTTCTACAAAATGAATATCATTACTAATATAGCATTATTAACTTCTGAAGCTATGCTAAATACTTTAATAAGATATAAAATATATCATTGCGAAATGAAGTAAAATAGATGATAATCTTTATGAGTTAAACAGATGTAGCATTATTAACTTCTAAAAGTAAAGTTAAGATTAGGTAAAACGTGAAATAGTGATTTAGCCATGAAATAGTGATTTAGAAATAGTGGTTTAGAAAATAGTGATTTAATCATTTACCTCTTACCTGTATTGTTACAGAAGTAAGATTTAGTGTCAGACTTCGATTCTTCTACAAAAAGAATATCATTACTAATATAGCATTATTAACTTCTAAAGCTATATTAAATACTTTAATAAGATATAAAACATATCATTGTAAAATGAAGTATAATATATATTCTTAATGAGTTAAAAGATGCAACATTACTAACTTCTAAAAGTAAAGTTAAGGTTAAGTAAAAGGTGAAATAGCGATTTAGCCATACAAAATAGTAAATTTTACCTCTTACCTGTATTGTTTTGCAGAAGAATATCACAACAATAATAAAATGATGATATGAAAGAAGTTATTTAACATGTAACAAATTTTCTATTATTACATTTAATGCTATTACCTTATGTAACATTTGATTGGAAAGAAGATTTGATTGGAATTTTAAATGACTAAATTATAAATTTATCAAATTACAGGTTAGCCTGTCGTAAGCTTGAGAAAAATTAAAAGGAAAATGAAAATTGAAAAGATTAGAGGAAAATAAAGCAATTCTTCTCACATTCCGAAAGTTTGTTTCTCACTTCTAGACAGTGATCATTTCAAATCTTTGATCAAACATTTCCGGTCATTTTGCTCGTTGTATACGGAATAATCCAAAGTAATACGATTACAGTATGAGTTTGCCAAATGCATGATAGAAAGGGAAATAAATGAATGATCCAATGATTGTTGCGCCATGACCTGTCTTAATTTCACGAGTGTTTAAAAAAATGGAGGCATGGTCCGGGTGATGAGTTGGTTCAGGTTTGATGGGTGTTTTGTGGATTGTGATACCTTCTGATTTCAGATTGTTTGAGACGTAACAATGGCTGATAGATGCAGTTTGAAGGAGCGTTTGCAAGAAAGTACGGAAGATCTGGAAGCAACTGTCAAAATGGTTCCAAATTCTATTTTAGAACATTAAGAGCGGTTTTTGTAACTCTGTAACCCAAAAAATTGCCTACCCTTTGTTTCTTTGGAATTAGTTGTAGTTATCGAACAAGCACTGGCAGATAAGTGAGCAGGATTGGAAATAAAAAAACTGTAAAGTGGGAAAAAAGGGTTTAAAGTTTCTGAGGAAAAGATTCGAATATCTTATTAAGCTAAGTATTCGATTCCTTTATTACAGATAGTTGCATTTGTTCTGGACAGGAATCGAAGCTGTGGATCACTAACATCTCTTTGTAAATCGTTCCGCAAGAAACATAGTGAATTAACAAAACTACTTGCCAAAGGTTAATTTGCCTGTAAGCTTTTGCAGCTTATTCATATCTTATGCTTCTATCTTTAGTGCCTGCTCATCAGCAAAGAGAGCGAGAGATCCGAAGATTGGAAGCAGAAGTTGAAGCACGGGATAAAGTTCTTGGAGATTTGCAAAAGCAATTGATGGCTGCGGAGAAGCTCATTACTAAGATGGTTTTTCAGGTACAACACAAAATTTGACTTTATTTTATGTATGAACGCCCATACTTCTTTGTTCAAGTGAAGTAAATTAAGCTTGAAAATTGAGAAGTGAGGTGTAAGGAGAGGAGTTTCAAAATTTGAAGAAGAGAGCTAAAAGAAACCTTTTTCACCCTGAAACATAATTGTTTAAGGCTGATAAAAAGGTAAAGGAAATGCATCAGTCAGAAGCAAACAGAGTAAACAGTGAAACGGTCATTCGTTTCGCCAATCAGATCAGTAGAACATATGCCGTCGCAGCGCCACTTGGTTGGCAACTAGGCGATACATCTCGTCCATATCCTACTGAGGTTTGAAAATTCCTACTTTATTGCACCAATGGAAGCAGATACCGCGGTCATCTGAAAACTATAAATGAAAAATCATCATTTCTTCTTATTGCTAGTCCTCTCTTAAACCTTCTGTATCTTTCTCTGTTTTGTCTTTGTCATAAAGGCAAATGGCTTTCTTATCCCATAAAGCCTTATTTTTCTTGCGTCTCAAATTACAGTTGGAAATCAATTTAAGTGATCTGCAGGCAGAATTACGTTTATCGGCATTGGCTGCTCCACGTGTAATAGTTCAGGCAGCTCCTCCAGCATTATCTTTGCTTCGTCAACCTACTGTCAGTACTAGTGGAATGTTGCGTGGTAGCGGACGTGGTGCATCACCAATGACGTCGTATTCGGTAGCTATGCAACAGCAACAAAGGTATTTTTTATTTAATGTTCTTCCTTTAGTTCTTGACAAGGAAGGTTGTATGTAATTATGCATACGTGGATCAAGTATTATTCATCTGAAAATGAAAAGAAGAAAGTACCGGAATGTTGGTTAGAAATAGTTGGGATTAATAAACAGAAATTTCACAGTTATTTTATTTTTGGTTCCAAATTATGTTCGGAAATGAGAATCATTTCATTTCAGATCATGGAGTCCACGCAGCGCATTCGTTCAACAATCATCTTCATCACCTCGAGGTAGAAGTGCGGCAGGCCGCGGTAGCATCATATCGCCGCGCATTAACGCTGCACCAGGTGCAAGCATGTTGCAGCGACGTCCATCTATGACGGGAAGTAGTTCGCATTTATCCAGTCCCTCATCATCCTATCAAGGTCCCATCAGAGGAAGACTTCCACCGCCAGTGACAAATGTTGAACAGATGAGCTCTGACTCAAGCAGTAGTTCGAGCAGTGATGAGGGTAGCCCATCTTAATTTCCTATGTCTTGTGTAATTTTAAATTAAGTTCTTTCATATTATCAAATTGTAAATATTCTAAAACCTTTTGCGAAGTAATTGTCTTAATTTTTTTAAAATTCTTTGGTATTATATGCAACTGCTCCTGTAAACTATCCCAAATTTTTAAATATGATCGCTTAAAAAATATTTTATCCATCTATTCTACAATCCATTTTCCATCCTTTATGGATTATTAACCTGAATCTATTGATTACGGATCGTCGCAGAAAACTATGAACAAAGCGCAAGTAAAGAGTGATAGAAACTTTCCGATGCTGCCAGTTTTAACACTCTGATTATTTTCGCTTTGTTAAAGGTCATGTTTCTCTTTAGGTGTAATCCGCATATCCTTGGATTTCTAGATTGGGCTCATTACTTTGTTTTCGCCTTTAGTCAGTAACTTCCTTTTTCCATCATTGCTCGAATACCGCTTTGCAGAGGACTTTGTTATTCGATTTCGTTAAGTTTTAATTGTATTATTTTTCTGTTTAAAAAGATAATTTTGCTATTCCAGCTTTCTGTGTAATGGACCGATAAATATACTCTTTCTCATTAACTTCCTTTTTCTTTTTCTTTGGTTTTTTTAAAAAATTTATGCCTCTCTTCACCGCTATTAGCAGCTAGTTTTTAGTATTTTTAGCTATAACTTCAAAATAACATATGAATTTATCAATTTGCACTCATCATGTATATTTTAACAATAGCTAAAGTCATTCGGAGTAAAAGTTTTAGCGGAAAAATTTAATTTTCATACTTGCACAGAAAATTTCTGTGGAAGGAACGAAGTAAACAATTCTTTGAAGAAATTTAGTGGTAGCTTCTGAAAATTGCGGATGTTATTGAATGTTCCAATATGAAGTATTGAGGTTGATTAATCCACTTAATTGGAATTTAATGGATTTGAGAAAAGCTTTTGTTATAAAGTTCCAGGAATTTAAAATGAATTTGACTTTTAAATGCATTAAACAGTAATGAAATTTTCAAAGAATTCCGGCAATGTTTTGTTTTATTTCTTTTAGTTAATTTTTCTTTGTAATTTTGGTTGTTACTGGTTTTGTTATGTTTTATGTTTTACTGCAAAAAGAAAAAATTTTCCTGAATTTAGTGCTTTAGGTTTTTTGTTTTGGTTCGTAAATCCTTACATACTACTGCAAAGTGAATTGTTTTTGTATTAAACGATGTTTGCATATTGATTGCTGAAATTACTAATTTAAGCGAATCCTTCTAATCAAAATAAGCTATTCAAACCGTTTGTGGGAAACATCACCGGTATGAATAGGCCATTTCGATTAAAAAGGTTCGAGTAAAAGTTTCCATCAATTCAAATTGTATTTAGTGTATATGAGTGATCCAGAGAGAAGAGTGGTTACAACCATTCCAAGTTCGGACAATGGTTCTGGCGCATGCAATATTCAAATATGTCCATCTACTCAGGAATTAAGCAGTAGTAATTCAGGTATATAAAGTTTAATCGGAGCTTTATGCATGATAAATTTGTAATCTGCGACAATTGGTACTTTTAATTCTCCAGTTTTTGTGATTTTTATACTGTTTTGCAGAGTTACGTGGTTCCCCTGATCTAACGGATTTTGTCAATCAGAGAACGGAAGATGAGCTAAATGAACTGTTTGCCAATCGATATACAATGGTAAGCTGATCCGTTCATACGATATAAGAGTTGTCGAAATGGTAACTATGTTAGTATAAGATTTCCAGGCCAATAAGCTGTATGCAGAAGTTGCAAATGGCTTTCCCGACCCAATCATTGTATGTCCATGGAGCAAAAGACCGAAAAGGAAATTCGATTACATGTATGCTTTCATTGTACGTATAATTCTGAATTCTTTCTGCATAATAAATAACAGGGAAAGTTTCTTGAAAATCCCGGCCGGTCTAAAACCGATGAAAATTATTTTCGATATTTCGATGAAAGTTTCGAGGATTTGTAGGAAGGAAAGCTAGATTTCCAAACATAAGTTTCAGCAGCCGTCAGCGGAGACCCTCGAGAGGTGAAAGCAAACGAAATGTTGGCTCAGAATGGCAAAGTAGCAGAGGAAATCCGAATTACAACCCTTATACTACACAGGAATCGAAGAAAAGATGTAATCCATTCACAGATCACGTTTTTTATCCAGGCAAAACCAAAAAGACGTAATCCATTCGCAGATCACGTTTTTTATTCAGGCAGAATCCTGATGTTTGCCAAGAAATTTTAAAATATTCAGTATTCCTATGATCATCTGTAAATCAGCTGTGTTACAAGCATATAATGAATTCCTATCTGGAAGTTCTGTAGGAATACGAGTAGCAAAGCAACACCTCAGTCACTACACTTCTATTGTTCTTGTCGAGAAGCCATAAAAAAATAGATTTTTAAAACTCGAGCACTTTTTATTTTTGGAATGCTTTATTTCAGCAAATTGAGGTATGTAATATACAATTACCATTTGCGCAATAAAAAATACCGCGAGGTGGACTTGTTTACTGTGTGTAATTTAACTGAAGATTGAAAATTTGAGGATATTATAAATAATCTATAACTCGCCTCTGTGTATCCAGTAGAGTTCCGAATTTCGGGGTTGACAAAGACGAAATCGGTCTTCAGAATTATGGATTTATAAAATGACAAAAAAGGTATTTAAATAAACTTATTCCCAGATGCCCTGATAGATGTCAAAAGTTTTGAGGAATCAAATAATCAATTAAGAAATATGAGGCTCTTAAACTTCCTGAATTCAAAACAAATTTCAATCCATGTCCTGATCACCAAGTTATTGTGATCGTAAGCCAAAAGCACTCTGAAAACTTCTTTACCCAGAGGAACAAATCATTGGAAATTATTCTCTTGCAGAGGGAAAGCAAATGGACGAGTTAAGAGCAAGAAAATTTGATCCTTCCCAAAAGGAACGCTTTATAAATGCCTCGAAATCCCATTTTCACTTATTAAATCACATGAGTAATGAAATAAGAAAAAGCTTGTATAAATCAGGAAGCAAATGGATGAGTTAAGAATAAGAGCATTTGATCTTTCCTAAAAAGGAGACTTTATAAAATCAGAAACAAAGTTAAGGATGACGAGACGGAGTACTTCGACTTCGTCGTGCTCGTTCCGCATCTCGCCTTTTCTCTGCATTTAGACCACATAATTTAAGGACCTCGTCGCCATATTTCTTCCAGATAAGACGCTGACCATACATACCATAAAATCTGAAACATTCTTTGAAATAAATTTAAAAAATGTAACTTCCATTTTAAGAAGGAGCGCCTGTATTTTAAAATCACAAATTCTATACGTACTATACGTATACTATATACTATACTATACTATACGTCGCCATCGTTCATAGAATTTATATGACTTACTCAAATTATGAAAATTTTCGTTACTATTAGAAGTTTATATATTGCAAACATACAATCCAAACAGAGATCCTCCTAAATGCGCCGCATGATCGAACAATTTGAAGCCGAGTAGCAAACAAATGAAGTCAAAAGTAATCATTCCTATCACAGCTGACTTCGCCGAGAAATCAAAATGTGGCACAAAAACAATTTTTAACCTTGCATCTTGCAATTTTATGCATGTGTATACTAATAATGCCATTATCGCACCACTCTGCAAAAATTGTAAAGTGTCAGTTTATATCAGTTTAAACGATTATCATAAGTCGCGATTCATATTTTCTCAAAGCATGGACCGAAAATACCTAAACATAATATAAGCAGAAGAACTAACAGCTCCGAGAGCTCGTCGATTCGTTCTTATTATACATTTATGCGTTATTCCAGCTAAAGACGATACTGCAGCAGCTGTTATATAGAATGCCCAAAACTGTAAATGTAAATATATTCAGCAAAATGTTAGATTTTCATTAATTATGTGCAGAAAGATATAATTTTGAATAAAAAACATTCTGAATAAAAGTAGACTGGAAACAGGCAATGATTCAAAGGCAATAGTAATAAAATGAAGGTCACTTGAACATTTAATCTCAACCTGTTCAATTCCAAGAAGACGATCGATGGAAACAGGGGCAAATGTATTGAGCACGTACATATTCAGCGCAAGATGAAGCACATTCGCATGAGAGAAAGCACTTAATACCATTGGAAGACACAAAGCTTCTAAAACACGTCATAGCATAATATAAATCATAATACACTAGTAGAATGAATACATGTCCAATATTAAGAATTTGAGTTTGAGGCACCTGTGTAGTCCGAAAAATAAAATCAAATCGAGCAAATGTTGATAGAAAAATATATTTTATGAATAAAATTACAAAAAAATTAAATGGGTTAGAATAGGCATTAATAAAAATGAAATCATAAAGATAAGTCCAAATGATATATGTTTAAAAGTAAGTAGAATGTAAAAAGTTTTTCCGTGTTTAGAAAATGTAAGGCTAAAACTGGAATAGTTCATAAAATTCTGTCTGACTGCGAATATATATAAACGAACTTGAAGTAAAACTATTTGTGAACCATCTCCACATAAACAACTGCCAAGATTTGATTCCCCACATTAGCATCACCGTTACGTTTATGCCAATGAGTATAAAGGTGCATTTCACACCATCTCGAAGTCGACGATATTTGGAGAAATGATTTTTGGTTTCATTATACCTAATACTAACCACTTCGTAGATTTCACGCCATCTGAAAGACAAGTTCTAAGAATAAAACTTTAATGAAATAACAGAAATAATCGACATTCACTCGATTTTTACAGGATTCAAAATAGAATTACGTTTTTTACAAACGCATAAAAAAGAAAAAAATCCTAGATGAATTTAATACGTACCTCTTATTAGATCTTTTAAGATCACAGACTGCAGCAAGCGCAAATGACACAGCTCCAACCTAAATAGCAGGAAGTGACATAAATTATAGCTTAGAAACTTCTGATCTGTAATGATATCCTTGCAAAATTCGCAAAGCCATGAAAGTGGCCAGATTTTGATAAAATCTTGATGAATCTTTATCGTCTGCTCAAATTGAATGTTGGAAGATATTTCAGTATGCTATTTACTATTGCCTCCCAACGTTGTGCGGTTGAGACCCGGTGAGAATAAGAATTTACAAGTAGAAACTTAACATACTCCAGTAGTAAATCCGAATGCTTTCCATAAATCTCTCGATGGACGGAGCGGAATCACATCTTCCTGATAAGGTAGTTTCTGTTTCGACTGTTCTACCTTCTCTTTAAGTTCATCAGTGCGTCGCCGATATTTTTCCCTTCTGTTTATTCCGAAACGATTTCTTACTGGTTGGAAAAGGGTCAACCTTGGAGATTTCTTGGCGAACTCACACCTCCATCTCATAAGAGTACTCAGCATACCCTAAAATTTGTCCCTAAAGAACTGCAATGATGATTTCTACTGGAAATATTTGCGAAAGGTAAAAAACAACTCCCCTTAAAATACTTTCCGAAAACCATCTAAATGTTCTGAATGAAATGAAAATTTAATTCATATTGAGGTCAGAATCACCTCTTCAATAGTGCTAGCAATATCACTACAGAAAAACCTCAATAGCAAATTCACGAACAAGAATTTAAGATGTACAAAATTACACGACAATATTTATACTTTTAATTTGAAGCAACCTACCGTATATTCATTTTTTCTTTATCAGTCAGAAATCAGAAAAATTAAAATAATAAAAATCAAAGGTCAAGTGCAGGTAGCTAGCTCATAGTTAGAATCAAACAATAATTCTACCTTAAAGCAAGAATCGATAATTGATAGTAATTTAAAGCTTAGAAATGCCATTTAAAGTAAAGTATATTGACTAAACTCTCAAATTTAATCTCAGCACTAAAAAAAATGAAAATCGAAATGAATATTGAAATAAGCTCTACACAAAATAATATTCACGGAAAACTATCATCATACGCTGACCGTTAAAAATCAAATGATTCAAAATACCCAAAGCCTGATAATACCTGGAACGATATCAGAATACTATAAAACAAACCAACAAAAACTCTTGAGATAAGTGAATTTTCACTTAATTGTTCTCATTATTAGTTCATTTGCAATTTTTCATTCAAATTTCTCAAAAAAAAAAAGTTCACAAAATTACTTAATTTAGATAAACAAACAGAACAAGAGCAAATTTTTAGTAGAGTTAGTTCTATTCCAAGATACACAGATACCAATTGCACGAAAAAAGTTTTGTCTATAAGCATTTTCATACTTTCTCTCATAATCATCTTTTCCGCATCGGACAAGGAAACATCACGAGATGTTTATAAACCCTAAGTTGGATCATGATAACTTTCTCTTTAGTTCAGTTATTCGTATATCTGTCAAGTATTTGAAAATTCTAATTTATTAAGGCAAGAAAAACACGTATGAACGACATATCACGCATGAACTATCCTATCACATCACATTTCTTGCATAACCGGATGATGAACTTACATCAACGGGAGATGCAAATTCGACTACTGAACTTTCATCACTTGTTGCCAATTACTTGACTGAAAAATGAAATTTTTCATGAAAAAAGCATATTTAGCAATTCAAAAAAAAACGGGTTAACACAAATAACAATTCAAGCAATTAGTCAGTAGAGATAGGATTATGAACCTCAAAATACAGTAGCACATCGTTACTACGAATTTTACTACTAGCAACACGAAAGCAAAACAAAACCGGACAATTGGCACTCCAGTTTTTTCTGTACTCCTCACATCCCTTACAGTAACAGGTATAGTATTCTGGAGTGCACCTTCAATTACTTCAAACTGATCAATACCAACCAACTTGAAGAACTGATTGAACAAGTGGCAAAACAAGTCATCTTTTTACCAACATTTCTCAGCAACGAAAACCGTATGAAGCACTGAATCTTACAAATAAAAAAGCTTGAAAACTGCTAGCCAACAACATGATCGAAAGGCCGAACATTAGAAAAAAGAGTCCAACATTCACAATCTTTCGGAAACGATTAACCCTACTATCTGCTGCATGAAACCATCGGATAACAAAAAAGAACGCAACAAAAAGATAGGAAAAAAATTAGTTGATAAGTTCCTAATATTCCTGTCCATCAAACAACGTGAAATTTCAAATCAACGATTCCCGAAAGCTACAAATTCTTAACTCTTGACATATGAATAACAAATTTTGAAAATATTGATTTCTG